TTTCCCGATCCTGAAGAAATTTTCTACGCAAGAGTGGATGCTCACAAAAAATTGCATCTGACTTGAATGCTACCAAAGTTGTTATGGTTTGTGCAAAGGATCATATCACACTTCTTTACTGCCTGAAGAACTAAGATAAATTTCATGCCGTTTTCATAACATATCTTTAAATGTTTTCGTATTCAATAATAACTGAAAGTGAGACGTTCTCACAAGTAGCGCTTCCTCAGATGTGCATGGAATAACCATCTATAAATGGTGAGTGTATCCATCGTACGTAACGGTAATGACGCCTGGTTATTCAGCTCTTCTTTTACATGTGGTTCTCCCTTTTCACGGATCGGTTTGGTTGAGTGCAGGAGAGTCTACTGTAGTAAGTGCCCGGCACATTCAGCTGAATGCATGGTATCGTGCACACCGAACTGCATATTTGTACTGCATTTAGCTATATATATATTTTGCTCCTCACTCTACATTCCCGGATAGTCATTGCAGCTTTAAAAGTTTGAGATCTGAAAATCTGAAAATCCTGCCCTCTCATATGTGAAGGTATAGTTATTGCCTTCTCAAATTTCCAAATATAGTCGTTTTTGAGCATAAGTGAATCAGGGAACGTCCTCGTTGTTTTCATTAAACGCTTTCGGCTCCAGTGAAATCTTTATCCAATCCGGCTGTATGTATGTGTTACTGGAGGTTATGAAGTCAAATGAAAACAGCTACGGAGGGTTAAAAGTAATGTAGTTAGGAATATTTAATATGGCAGTATACCTTTTCAGCCAGATTACTAGAATAAATTGTATGAAAGATCGCGTTACCGCATACTTCAATGATTATAACTCACTGTCAGAGGAAGATGCTTTAGGAGTGGGCTAAAAATTGAAGTTTCCATTTTGACATGTCACGACAGTTCGAATCAATCTAAGAACAACAAACTCTTTGACACTGCAGTGTATCATCCAACTGTGTTCTGGAAGTGGTCGAAGGTTATTCAGCGACAGTATTGCGCGTAAACATGAACAGAATACTGAGAAGTCAACGACAGAGGCGTGAATACGTTACAAGTCCTGTCACTTCTTATAGGCTGTTGAAACACAATATGCGCACACCTGTGCCGCTGAAGTCTGTACAACATGTGGCTAGGTAGGTAAATATCCACCGCAAATCTATCTATCATGTCACGCCTGACATTTTTGGTCGAGGCCAGTGTGCTTCAGATCTGTTGGTTAATATCTGGCAACAAATCCTGTTAGTGGCCAGCGTGAGAAATTGGAGAATCAGGCTTAGTTGACCTGGCTTTCGTTGCTCATCTTCTTAAGGTACGAATCGTGTTAACGGTGTGTCAAGAAAGTATTAAACCGAAGAAACTTTACATAATTTTAAAATTTTTACCAAGCGTTTGGATCCTGTAGGCATCAGCGAAAGCCCAACTTGAAACGGAAACAAAGACCTTGCATGTAACAGCGGTCAAAATGCAAAAACGTGTGTAACAGTGTTCAGAGTTGCTTGTTAATATTTTCATAAGTCTGTCTGTCGACGCTTTGGGGAAAATGGTATTGTTTGTATGAAAACTAATAAGTATTTTTTCAGGAAACATACCTAAAATGTTGCACTTAAAAAGTTGCCGATTGATGACAGTCACTTTCATATATTGACTTGCTGCTTAGGCATTTGTTTGAGTTCTTGCTCTGCTGGAGCATTCGTCATTTGTTGGCAAAATACGATAATCTGATTACTAATACAATAAACTTTCATTGTACTTAACATCATGACGTTAGGTTTAAAAGGAGACTTCATAATTTGCGATAGCTGTTTCTTCATCGATATGACATATTTACGACAATATTTTTTTCGCCTATTTAATCTGACTTACTGATTTCGGTTTTGACTGTCTGCACTTCGGCAAGTCGAGATCGAAATCGAAGTTACATACTGTGCTACTGGATAGCCAACCATCAGGTGAGTCAAGAAGATCTGCAGTCAGAAGGGGCGCCCACATTGGACAGCGCAGTCGACCATCTCTCCGTTCTATCATCATCAAACCAGAATACGATTCTGTCCGTTTTCACCCGTTTTAGGCTGGTTATCGCCAAGCAACGTGGGGTTAATGCCATGCTCAAGTGAATTAGCGATTAAAGCAATAGTTTTCGCTTGAGCGGATTCGAACCCGGCACTTCCGAAGTTTTAAACCGGTTTCTTGGGCAATGTGTCACCAAGTCGGTGTTTAACTGTCGCAATCGACTGAAAGGACAACTCGCAACTGAATTACAGCGGGTCAGAATTCACGTAAGACATAGTCATCACCCCTCATGGCCCTCATGGCAGTGCCGTTATCGTGTATTACATCGGCTCGATTGTCTCCGGATCTACTGAGGACTACGGCTGCTGGAAAATTGAGGCGGACTGCGAAAAGTTGGTAACTAGAAACTTATCCACGCCTTATGACCGCTTGATGTGCAGCAGCACATTGTCATCTGCCGAAGATCGACATTAACTAAACGAAGATACCAGTCAATCACGGAGCCGCTGTTCGTTCAAAACGGAGAAGGCAGACAAAGCGATGCGATTATAGTAGGCCAGATGAAGCCACACGGTAATGATATCGAAGGTGGGAGCTAACAGTAAGAAATTGAAACATCTCCTGACCTAGAGGGAAAGAGTAGGAGCTAGTTAATGAGGCCGTACCGTACCGACTGGATATGGTTGACTGACTCACGCCAACAAAGCGGCAGCACTCCGGAACTCTGAACATCGGCGGCTGGAAGCCATCACATCCCATTCTACTCCAGTCCATTCCACGAAATGCGATTAAACTGATGCTTGCATTATGGTAGAACCAAGCCTGGCTGACAGCATCGCTTAATGGAAGCCTGGCAGCGGAGAAGCGACAATCATCAGATTGAAGTTACAGGAAGCTAACATTCTGACCTTATTACTCGTCATGCACCCAATTTTGAGGGAGAATATGATCCCTTTCTAAAGTAAGTATCGCGTGCTCTGGGTGAAGTGCTGACTATGGAATCAGTCATTGTAATGGGCAATTTCAACGCGCATGCCAGATCAGTCACTGAAAGCTGTGAAAGTGTGATTGGGAAAAACGGCACTCGCGACCTCAGCAATAATGACATGAAGTTATTGCGCTTTTGGGCAAGCAAAGCTCTCTACTATGACACCGTTTTCGTTCTTCGGTTTGCCTGGTATGGAGAAGTTGATGCACAGAAGTCGTTGGTCGATTTGATCATCTTATGGTCTGATTTATGACGCCATGTAATTTGTTTACTCGTTATGAAGCAGAGTTGTCAGCCGATCATCATCTTGTTCTTGATGCCCTCCGCTTGTGTATCATGCGAAGGTCTGGCAGCAGAAGCAACCGGAGAATCAAGCAGGAAGCATTCGCTTCTGCGGATGCGAGGGCGAAACTTGCAAACAGCATCGCATAACGGTTTAAACAAATTCCAGTGATGATTGTTGATGTGAAAACCAAATGGAAGCTGTTTAAGAGCGACTGCTCGTGGCTGCCGACCAATGGGGCAGGTTCAAACTTGTTAACCTAACAGCTGGGGTCAGAAACGAATTTCCTGATGGATATGAGACGTTCAACTGACTGTCAGCTGAAGTAAGCTGCATTTAAGAATGGCTTGGAAGACAAGAGCCCACAATTCGAATGCGGCACGAAGAAGTGCGAGAGGTGGCATCGAAAACTGATTCATGGAAGATATTCAGTGAGCCACTGGAATCGAATTTCCAAACGGCATCCAGGGTATTCTGAACACTATCCCCCGCCTCCGCGATGGAATAAAGGAAAGTCTCAGGGATCTGAAGGACTAGTCAAGAAGCTCTCTTACCAAGGGAGAGGATTTGCTTCGGCGATAACGAGAGTACTTTGAGCGACTCCTCAACCCCAAGCAACTGCAGTAAGATTGGACTGAAACGCGACATGCAACAGATATCAGTCTTTCAGTAATCAAGGTCACAACAGCTGCCGAAGACTTGAAAAGTGACAAGCCGCAAGAAGATCCGATCTCCAGCGTTCTCTGGAAAGGTTCACCACCGAGAGTGATTTTGCCGATATGCGTGTGAATATGTCTATAATCAAAAGTCTTGTGCTTTTTCTTTC